CCGAAGGTTCCTGCCTGTCCGGGATCGGAGCCTCTGCCTTGCTGCTCCATCAATCCTGGGGCTGCCGCCTGGGCCCCTTGCTGCCATGGAGGCAGTCCTGCCCGCCCCCGCCCTGCCCTCGGTCGCTGAGGGACCTAGGCGTGTCTCCTTTAGGTCCGTCATTACCTTGCCACCTTTAGGGGACTGAGGTCTGGCAGTGGCAGGGGCTGGAAAGACATCTTCACACAGAGCCCGAGACTCATGTGGCGGGGAGGAGCCCAGGGTTCCTGAAGGCTGTGGTCCAGGTCTTAGGGGCTGCCCTCCATGCCCTCAGTCAGAACAAAAGGCTCTGCTTTGGCCTGGGCTCTAAAACTGTCCCCTGGTCGTTGTGTCCCAGTCCCCCACCCTCACCCTTCCACCCCCGTGCCCTGGTCGTGACTGGACAGGGTCTTTTCCCTCTTCCAGTCCCCTCTGAGGCAGCGGGTATATAGGGAAGAAAGGTGAAAGTGAGCCCTCTGTAAGGTGGGGGCCCTCAGTGGTCAGGAAGGAGAACTCTAGCCCCCCCATCCTTCTGCCCTCCCTCCCTCCCTGGAGTACTGACTGCCTCCTGGCTCCACAGACAGCATGATCCGCGTTGGAACCAATTACCAGGCTGTAATTCCAGAGTGCAAGCCTGGTGAGTGGCAGGACAGGCGGCGAAGGGAGGGGTAGAGGGCGATGGCTTGGCCTGCAGCCTCACCTGGGGAGCCCTTGGCTGGCTCCTGCTGGAAGGACAGGCGGCTGGGCGAGGTGGGTGGCCTGGGTGGGCATGGTTACTTTTCCTGCTCTGCCTTCCCGTCTGGGTCTCTGCCTCTCCTTCCCCTCTGGGCCTCACCTCCCAAGCCCGGTTCCTCTGCTGCCCTCTGGCCTTGGGTCCAGGCTGGCGCCACCAGGCTGATCTCAGTTCTTCCCTCATGTTGTTTGGCCTTCAGAGAGCCCGGCGCGATACAGTAACAAGGAGCTGAAGGGGATGCTGGTGTGGTCACCCAACCACTGTGTGTCAGATGCCAAGCGTGAGTGGGGTGGGCCCCGGGTTCAGGCTTAGCCTTGGGAGGTGGGGGCTTGGCTTCATCTCCTCCAGAGACCAGCTCTTCTCAGAAGTGTGTTGTAAGCTGAGTGCTTGTGACACACACCTGTAGTCCTAGCTACTTGGGAGATTGAGGCAGGGGGATCTCTTAAGCCTAGGAGTTTGAAACAGTCCTGGGCAATGTGGTAAGACCCTGTTTAAAAAAAGGAAGGAAAAAAGCAGGAGTCGGAGGTTGACGCATGAGGTTCAGCCTTGCCCCGGGACTGAGGGTCAGGGGTTTTGCCCGTGGGGGTTACCCCTCTCTGGACAGGAGGTCTGGGTTGGGAGCCATAACCTCGTCCAAGACTTTGCTCCTCCCACCTGCAGTTGACAAGTACATTGCAATGGCCAAGGAGAAGCATGGTTATAACATAGAGCAGGTGAGCCAGGGCCAGCCGGATGGGCATTTTGGGGTAGGGATGGGATGGTGCTAGAGTGGCAGGGCCTGAGTTGCTCTCGTGTGCTCGGCCAGGCACTGGGCATGCTCCTCTGGCATAAGCATGATGTGGAGAAGTCCCTGGCCGACCTGGCCAACTTCACCCCATTCCCTGACGAGTGGACTGTGGAGGACAAAGTGCTGTTTGAGCAGGCCTTTGGCTTCCATGGCAAGTGCTTCCAGCGGATCCAGCAGATGGTAAAGCCCCTTGCCCAGAACCTCAGAGCTCCTCAGCCCGTTGTCTCTACCAGCTGCCTGGGACCCAGAGTCTTGGGTGGATCTCCACTCTGGCCTTGCCTCCCTAGCTGCCAGACAAGCTGATTCCCAGCCTGGTGAAGTATTACTACTCTTGGAAGAAAACCCGCAGCCGGACTAGCGTGATGGACAGACAGGCACGGCGCCTGGGTGGCCGAAAGGACAAGGAAGACAGGTAGGGGCACAGGTCAGCACCAGGTGGGGGTAGGCAGTGTTGCTAGCCTGTCCTTGCCTCATTCCCTCCCTGGCCCCTGTGTCGGCAGCGATGAGGTTGAAGAGGGACGAGGAGCTGTGAGTGAGGGAGAGCCAGATGCTGGAGACCCCAAGAGAGAGGTGAGGTATCGACTGGCTCCGCTCCACCTGATCAGCTGCCTGTCCTTGGACTCTGCATCATGTACTCCCTCCTTTCCCTGCAGCCTCTGCCCTCCCGGCCCTTGAATGCACGCCCGGGTCCAGGAAAGAAAGAGGTTCAGGTGTCTCAGTACCGCCACCACCCACTGCGAACCCGGCGACGCCCACCTAAGGGCATGTACCTGAGCCCTGAGGGCCTCACTGCAGTGTCAGGGAGCCCAGATCTTGCCAACCTCACACTCCGTGGTCTTGACTCCCAGCTCATCTCTCTCAAGCGCCAGGTGGGTGCTCAAGAAAAGAGGAGGTGTACATTGTGAGCTGTCGGCTCCAAGGAACTGTTTTAAGGGCAGCCAAGTTTTAAGGGTGCAGGGGCCAAGCCTGGTTTTGCCTCATCTCTGGGATTGGTGTTCTTCTCTGGACCTTGTTAAAAAAGTGGGTTTCAAACAGGGAGAAAGGACCACAGCATCTCCCCTACCAAGTGGTTGTGATGGAGGAATGAGCTGGATGGTGGTGTCAGAGAGCTTTGTTGGGGAGGTGGGGCCCTGGCGAGGAGGGGGTGGGAGTGGGGGTGACCTCCTAGGGATGGAGTCTGATCTTCCCTTCGCTTCTCCAGGTGCAGAGCATGAAGCAGACCAACAGCAGCCTCCGCCAAGCCCTGGAGGGTGGCATTGACCCACTTCGCCCCCCTGAGGTAAGGCTGAGCTGCAGGTTTGGATGCAGAAGGGGTTTTCTCTGGAGGCAGAATAGAAGGAGTTCTGCATAGGGATCAGAAATTCCATTTCCATATGTTTAAACGGTTACTCATATTCCTTGCTCTCTAGGCCAATACCAAGTTCAACTCCCGCTGGACCACAGATGAGCAGCTTTTGGCTGTGCAAGGTGGGTCAGACCATATGAGAGAACAGAGGACCCCTGGAATGTCTCTTACCCTCTAAGGAGCAGACGGTGGAGGGAAGTAAACTAGCCCTGAGGGATGTTCACACTGCTGCCCTCTTGACCCTTGCAGCCATCCGTAGATATGGCAAAGACTTTGGGGCTATTGCAGAGGTGATTGGGAACAAGACTCTGACCCAGGTGAAGACATTCTTTGTGAGCTACCGGCGACGCTTCAATCTGGAGGAGGTGCTTCAGGAATGGGAAGCTGAGCAGGATGGGGCCCCTGGGGCCCCTGGAGCCCCAGTTCCCATGGAAGAGGCTAGGAGAGGGGCTCCCTTGCCAGCGCCAGCCCTAGAGGAAGATGATGAGGTAAGAAGGGGTGAGCAAAAGCCCTCAGAGAAGAGAGGCATCACCTAAAGCCTAAGGATAGATAGATACATAGGCACTTTTTGTCTCTTCCCTCAGGTCCAGATTACATCTGTCTCAACATCTGTGCCTCGATCAGTCCCCCCTGCACCACCACCCCCTCCACTGCCCACCTCACTGTCTCAGCCACCCCCACTTCTGAGACCACCTCTGCCCACAGCTCCTACTCTGCTTCGCCAGCCACCCCCACTACAGCAGGGCCGCTTCCTGCAGCCCCGGCTGGCCCCCAACCAGCCCCCACCACCTCTCATCCGCCCTGCTTTGGCTGCCTCCCGCCACAGTGCTCGCCCAGGCCCTCAGCCCCCACCCACCCTGATTGGAGCCTCCCTGGAGCATCCAGCACCCTCACTCTGAGCCCTGGGCTCCTGCACCACACCACCCAGAAGCACCTGAGCCTCTTTGGTGGACACCCTTGGGTATCTTTGGGGTCACTGACAAGCCACTAGGGCTCTTGCCAGGTCTTTCAAAGACCTAGAGCTGCCAGTTAGCACAGCCTGGAGCTGAGGGTGCTGTGTGTATTCCTGGCAGCTGGGCTGTCTTCCCCCTAGCCAGGGGCTGGGGTTCAAAGGGCCTTCTGTGCTGGCCTGAGGGCTGCTTCCTGGCTGGGACTGGAATGGCTGCCTCCCTGTCTCTGGGGGCTTGGCCTTTGGGCCCTGTGTGTGTAGGAGGTAGTGACCTTAGTGTGGGGGTTGGGAGGAGGACAGTTTGGGGTGACTGTCCTTGTTCCCCTTGCCCTCCCTTTTAGCAATAAGACTGGGGTGAAGTGGGAAGGGATGGGAGAGGTGGGCAGGTTCCTTGGGGGCCGACAGCAGCACAGGTTGCACAGGAAGCCTGTCTTCAGGTGGCAACTCTGAGGACCTGAGTGTGCCCACTTGCCCTTCCTCCCCAAGCTTGAAGGGGGATTGGGAACTTATGCAGACATGGGTCTATTTTTCAATGTTTTTTTAAAAATAAATAAATACAACCTCTTAAGCTTGCCCAGTCTTCTTTCCCTTTCCTGTTCTGAGGTGGGAGGGAGCAGGCCTTCCCAGCCCTGGCTGCTCCCCAGGCCCCAGCCAGAAACCACTTCTCTCCTGCAAGGCAGGCTGGGCCACATCTTGCCCAAGGGGGACTGGGTTCCAGTGGGGCAGGGAGAAGAAACCAAGGAGGCAGCTCAGATTCCAAACATTCTCTTTATTACGTACGTGTTTGATCCAGAGAAGAAACTAAGTGCAGGGAAGGAGGGGCTAGGTGGGGAGGGGCCACCTTGCTTGGGTGCCCCTGGCCTCCACCCCCCTTCAGGAGCCAAGCGATGCCCTCCTGGTCCCCTCAGAGCACCCGGGCTGTTCCGCAGGGCAGGAAGGGGGAAGAGGGAGGGAGGGAGGGGGAGCCCTTGGTCTGAGCCGGAGCCACAGTTGGGAGGAGGGAGCAGGAGGGCTGTGGTTGGCGAGGCCCCTTCCTGGGACCCAAGGGCCCGAGTTGTCACTGAGCCTGGCCTGGGACTGGGGGTGATGAACAGGGGTGGAGTCATCATAAATCAAAAAAATAATAAAATAATAAAATAAAAAATAAAACCCATCACAAAAAAATGTACAACTCAAGTGAGAGCAGGGGCAGCCTCTGTAGGACCCCCCTCCCTCAATTTCTCAAGAACTGAAAGAGCAGAGAAATAAATTAAGGGATGCAGTGGCCGCCACCAGCCAAGCGCCCATAGCCACCCACTCCCACACTGGCCGAGGAGGTTAGCAAGCGGGGAGTCACTTCACCCATCTGTCCCCCACCCTACTGGGGGGGAGCAGATGCTCCCAGCCCTGCCGCCCAATCCAGCCTTCCGCCAGGTGGCCTTGGAGGCCCTGGGCAGTCTCCTGAGAGGAGGGGCGACAGTGTCAGGAAAAAAAGGCAAGGCCGAGAGATGAGAGTGGTGTGGGAAGTCACTGCTATGGACGAGCTGGTGCCCAGATTAATGCCAATGAAGGGGAAGCAGTGGGGAGGAGGGACGGTGGAGGGAACTGTGCTTTCAGACAAAGGCTCTCCCAGAATGGAGAAGCCCAGCGTCCTGTTCAGAGAAGAGCAGCAGCCCAAGTGGCCCGGGCCTGAAGAGCCCATCTGCCCTGCAGTCCCCTCCCCCCCCAGCCCTGGGTCAGCCCTCCTAGCAGGAGGGACGGGAGAAGATGGCACAGACTTTTGAGGAGGGGAATAAACGTCCCCACAGCAGCTTGTGGAAGGAAATGCCCAGCTCTGGGGAAGGAAGGGCAGAGGATACAGTGTGAGGGAGGCCAGGGCCCCCACCGCAGCCCCACCCTCTCCAGGGCTACGCAGCACCCCCGCCTGGCCCCTGGCCCCCAGGCCCGCAGCCCAGGGACATGGGGGCAGGGGAAGGCCACCTCTGGTGGTTTGCTTAGAGGGAAAGAAGGGGAGGAGAGGGGAGAAGCCCAAAGTGGGCCTGGCGGAGGGCCTGCCAGGGAACTCCACCACTCTTGCCTGAGAGTGTTCCAGCCCTGAGCCACCCTCCCGGGAAACCCCACAGATCCAGTCCCATCTGTCCCAATGGGGCAGGGAGGAAAAGTGGCCGCTGGGATTTTTTTTTTTTCTTTTTTCTTTTTGGTAATAAAAAATTTCTTGGTTTAGGCGAAATACTCTGTGCAACCGCAGTACCGAGGGGGAGCCCTGCCCCCCCTGCCCCCTCCCCCTCCTTTGCCTCCTGTGGGAGAGAGAGGGGAAGGGGGACTTTCTGGGCCAGGGTGAATGTGAGGTGGAGGAGAGCCATCTCCTGTCCTCCACATACATGGAAGAAAAAAACGGAGAAGGGCCAGGGTGGGGACAAGTGCCAGCAGGGAGACACACCGATCCATTGCTGCAGTCTCGCCCAGGTGGGGCGCAGTGGCCAGCCCCAGCAGCCGAGTCCAGCTGGCCTGCCTCTGCCGCCCCCCTCCGGGCAGCCTGTTAAAGCTTCAGCTCATTGGCTATTTTGGAGGCAATGTTTTTGAAGGCCATGGAGGTGCCTGATATCCTCTTAAACCGAACACCGTTGAGTGACAGCCGCGGCAGTTTGCACACCTCCATCTCCCACTGCACGAAGTTCTCATGGCCCGGCGTGCCGTGCACGCACAGCAGCATGTACTTCTCGTGCAGCTCGCTCTGACAGCTGTTTGCATCCAGCACCTTGCGGATCTCCCGCATCATCTCATTGGGCTCCATGGAGCTGGTGGTCTTCATACTCCATGTAAAGCGCAGTGAGCGTGGCTTGGCCTCCCGAAATTCTTCTTTTTCTTTGTCGTTGCCTCCACTGCCCACCATGTGAGGTCTGTGGAGAGGGCAGAGGTGGGCATCAGGCAACAGGTGGAAGCACCCCACCCACAGGAGCGCCACCCTGGCAGACAGACCCTGAGACCAGAGAGTGAGAGAGCACACGGCAGCGAGCTGGAAGAGGGAGCAGTTTGACCATGGTCAAAGGGGCAGCAAGGGGGGCAAGAAGGGCAGGCAGCCCTCTGGCCCTATTTCTCCAGATAGTGGGGATGAGGAGAAGCCAGCAGGGGTGGGGTGGGGGTGACAGCTCCATGCTGTTATTGGTTCTCGCCTTAGAAAGGGGGGTGGTGAGGTGAGAAACAAATGCATTTATCCACACTGAGCACACACTATCCCTCTAAAAAGCAGCTGATGCACAGAGAGTAGAGGTAGCCAAGGGGCAGGAACCAGTGGCCCAACCGCCCAACCCAGGGCTACAATCTCCAGAGTATCTAGGATCTGAGGATAAGGGCCCAAAACTACTGCACTGGGTCTGGAAAAGGGAAATTCTCTGAGGAAAGGAAGGCCCCAAGAGGGTGGGGGACAGGGCAGAACCACCAGAGGACAAGCCAAGTGGCAGAAGGAGAGGAGTAGGAGGCTTGTGACAAGCCCGGTGTCTTGGGCAGGGCCAGTGCTGGCTCCGGCCCTCTCACCTGAGCGTCTCCACTCGGTCTTTGCTTTCAGGTTCATTCAGGTTCCTCAAAAAACAGAGCGAGGGAGAGTTTAGTGCTGGGATCTCTCGCTCCTAACGCCACCACAGGCCCAGGTGAGGTGGGTCTGGGGAGGTGACACCAGTGGGTGGGCAGAACCCAAGCCCAAAGGCAACTTGCCCGTCACCTACAGGCCAGCGTGGCTCTGCAGCACCTTACACCAGCAGCTCGACCATCCCTTCCAACAGGGAGCCTGTCCCTCCCCACACTCCCAGAGATCTGTCCCAGGAGAAGAAGCTGCTGCTGGGGGAGGGAGGGGTGTGGCTGTGCAGGCACAAGTCCCCATCACAGGCCCAGTATGAGCAGCTCTCCCTCCAGCCCAGAGCCAGGCTCCTGCTCTCTACTGGGGAGGGAGGCTGGGAGTGGGTCCCTTATACCACTGCACCAGGGCTGCAGAAAGAATGCTTCTGGAATGAGGTTTTGGGTCTCTGTTGGGGAGGATCTGGAGAATACACAAGCCTCTCTTAGGAGGCCCAGAGTGCTGAGTACTGGAGCTGCATGATAGACACTTTGGGCTGGGCATCTTTGGCCAAACTGGAAAAGCAGTTGCTACCCACTCTTAAAAATCCCCTAACTCAGGCCTGCCAGGCCCACTGCTCATACAGGGGCCAGGCAGATGCCTTGGGGAGAAGGGAAGAGGTCTGGCCCTGCTGAGCGGCTTCTGCAGCTCCTACCCAGAGATGGGTGCCCGGAGCTGGGAAACTGAGGGCTATAAAGGGAGTGAGGGATGTGAGGAAGGAGAGAGAGCAGCAGCAGCACATAGAGAAGGAACACAAAGACATACAGACACATGGATACCAACAAGCGCGATGTGATCAGGGCCTGGCTGTGCAAGGGAAGGAGCCCTGGCTGCTCTCTCCGAGCCCCTGCAGAGCCGGCCCCACCAGCCATGCAGTGACCTGGGGGAGGAACAGAGGTCCTGAAGGCCTGAAGACCTCATCTAGCCAGTTCTCCCCTTAGTTGGGCCACCAGTGTGCCTCTCTGGCAAACCTGTGTTCCCAACCTGGCCCTCAGTGTGGCTTGGTATTTGGCCCAGCCAGGCGTGCAGAGAGGAAGACAAGGCCAGCACTGAAAAAAGTAAGAGCTGGTCTAGGAGGGAGATGCCTAAGGGAGGGTGAGGATCTCCCGTTGTTCTGCCAGGGCTTGGAGGATTATCCAGATCCTGGCTCTTTGGCAGGAACAGGCCATATGCGGAGGAAGCATCCTGGAGGAGGGAGGTGACTCATCCAGATGCCGCTGGAGCAGGTTGCTGGGGCAGGGCAGGCTGGGCCGGTTCTGCAGGAGCTGCCAGAAGGGGGTGCTGTGTCCTACTCATGAGGCAAAGCTCCAGGGCCTGGAAGAGTCAGACTTTAGCTTGGGGGACCCCAATGTCTCTGTGGCACCTCCGAAGTCCTGCCATCTCAGAGGCCAGGAGGAAGAGATCACATAGCCCCAAAGTTCAGCAAGCCAGGGGGACCCCAAATGAGACCATCCCATATGCACTTTTAACCCTTATAGACCTCCTCATAGCACATGCACACAAGAGGGAAAGGGCCAGAAAAGGAGCCCAACACTGGTGACCAAAACCTAGGGCAGGTGAGAGGAGACAATCTTAAAGGGAGAGTCCCTGAAAAGGTCTCCTCTTGTTGGAGGACCGGTATACCCTTGCCCAAGGAAGGCCCCTTACAAGGCCATGTGTTCCCAGCCCTGACTGTCTAAACGGGTGGGGAAGGTGGCCTGGAGCCCAGGTCCACTCCGAGCAGTCTTCATCCCTTTAAGATGGCAGAAAGGAAGGCCACACAGACTGTTAGCAGATGGAGGGAGAGCAAGAGCCAGAAAAGGGGGGTTAATGTTGGAGGCAGGACACAGACACAGGACAGACACACACAAATACACACACACAGCGGGCTCAACGCCTACCTTCTGGCAAACCTGAAAGACAGATTTCTAAAAAAACAAACAAACAAAAAAGACAAATAAAAAAAGAAATAAAAAAAACCCAACAAGACAATATGTGGATAAGCAGGTAGGGAGTGGGCTTCTCAGGTTCAAGGGGTGCCCAGTTTTGGAAGAGCCGCTCAGCGAGACTAGAGTTCTGTACTGTACTTTGGGTCTGCTCCTACCCTCTCAGCAGCCCTCACAGTTACACCCTACAGCATGCTGGCCAGTGGCTTTGGCTATTTCAGAAGGGCAGGGAGGTCTGCTCTCTCAAAAGCCCCCACCACTCCCTTAGCTGTAACTCCAAGATGGGGAGAGGTGAGCAGGAAGAACACAGAGAGCATCCCAAGGCCAGATGCACCTCCAGCAGTCCCTCTCTGGTAGCTGGGGCTTCAGGTGAGAAAAGCCTAAGGAAAAGATCCCCACCCACATCTACACTGGAAGGCACAAGTAAATCAGGGCTGCTGCGTAGGCCACCATGGGCAGAAAGGAAGTCAAAGGGGGCAAGAGACCAGGAAAATTTTTGCTTGTCAGCCCAGCCTGGCTCATGCCTCATGACTTTGCAGCTGCGTCACCAAATATAAGTTTCCATGGGAACCCAGGAAAGAAGGGGGGGGGCTTTTATTTTAGCATCTGAGTTCACACTCCCCTAGAGAGGAGGCGGCATCGCCCATCTGCTTGGGGCCAGAGAATAAAGGGTGCCTGTGAAGAGTTGCGGAGAGGACTTAAAGGATGGGCTTTGGGCACATAAGGTGTTGACAATGACCCAATTCTTAGACTCCTGAGACTTCTTCTAACCCTAGGACCCAATCCCAGTTCTGGTGGCCCTACCCCACCCCTCCCATGCGAATAGAAAGGCTTGGCCTCAGCCTCTCTGCCATAAGTTTCCTGCTCACCTGCGGACAAACTTGGAGGTGAACTTGCTGAAGATGCTCCCAGAGGCACCCCGCCGGCCCTGGCTGTGGCCAGAGGGAGAGGCTGGGGTCACACCGTAGGGCAAATTCTGCTGGTCCCGCACCTGTCGGAGCTGCCCAGCGTGGAAGGTGCTTCGACTGGACACACCCCGGGGGAAATTAGTTCGGTCTGGGGCTCCACCACTGCTGCTGATGTTGTGGGCAGAGGGGGAAGCGACAGGGACACGCTGGGGGGCTGTGCTGTGAGAAAAGAGGTGGGGGCAAGGGAATGTGTCAGGTTCAGGGAAGCCATCACCACTGAGCACTTGAACACCCCGTGGTGGGGAAGGGGAGGGGAAGATGCTAGGGAAGAGGCAGGCATCACAGAGTACACAGAAAGATGGGAGTGACCACTGAGGACAGCAGTGAGGCAGAGACTTGTGGAAGTGGGGGAAACGGTCTGGGGAGAGAGGAGGGAAGACAAGGCAGGACCACGTGTGAGAACAGTACAGGCTGGAGAGAGCTGGCTCCCTGGACCTTCAAGGGGACAATGAGGACCAATCCTCAAGGATTGAGATTCACAACAAAAAGGTTTCCCTTTGGAGCTTCAGGATAGCTTCCTGCATACCTGTTCTGAAAGGGAGAATTGAAGGAAAAGAGGGGCATTAATGCTATTTTTTGTGCCCTCTACTTCCTAGCTGCAGGTAATAAAGCCATTTCTTGTGACTAAAATTACAAGGGAACAAGCCCCCAAGATGGGAAGAACTTGCTGGGGAAGGGGGAGGGCGGGCTGAGGGCAGCAGGTGCACCAGCTGCCCCAGCACACTTGCCTGGGCCGCGGCACCTCACAGTTACTCTCCGTGGGGGGCAGCCCAGAGGACTTGTTGGGGTGCACGGAGGCCGACATGGATTTCTGGTGCTGGCGGGGCCGGGCCGCAGAGACTGCGGCAGAAGCAGAAGCCGTGGAGGCCCGGGACCCTGGCATGGTTAGGCTAGGAGACAAAAGCAGTGGAGAGGCCCAGGTTAGGGGGTGAGTGAGGTAGGAGCCTGCGTTAGTTAGGAAGCAAGGGCGGGGCCAGGGCCAGGGCTGGGAGCATTAGCAGGCTGCAGGTCAGAGCTGAGGATGGAGAGATAGGAAGTAGAGGGCAGGGCGAGGAAGCAGTAAGGTAAGCCAGAACCTGGGAAGAGAGAACCAAAATGAGGGAAAGCTGACAGGAGGCCACTGCCTCCAGTTGTACTGCTCTTCTAGGAATTCTCCGAACAGGGATGCTTCTTCTACAGAAAAAGCAATGTGTTGCTATGGGGAAACTTTCATTAAGCTCAGAGGAGGCAGAACCAGGATGTGATACACCATGAAATCTGTTGTCAGAGTGGGAAACTTTGCTCTCAACACAACTGGAGTCCCCTCAATGTGCATCTCCTCTCAGATGGACACTCATGATTCTGCACTGAGCTGGGACCCTCAGAGACAAAGCCTTAGGAACCTAGAAGACATTGCTCCAGGCCTGGCCGCAACCAAGCAGGAAGGTCACTGAAGTGACGCCTGGAGTCCCACCCTCAGCAAAAAGCAGGAGCAGTCAGAGGACAGGGGAGAGGGATGGCGTGGAGCAGGGGAAGGGAAGGTGGACGGCCAGACTGAACAGAGCCAGGACAAGACTCCAGGGAGCAGGGCAGTGCTCTGGAGAAAAGGAAGGGGAAACCTGTGATGCTGACAGATACAACCTCACCACTGTAAGAGGAGGCACACAAGTGTGGCAGGTGGCCCAGCTGCTCACCTGTCTTTGCCGTTCTGGATGGAGGCCTGGCCGAGGCTGGTCCTCTCCAAAAGCGGGGAGTTCCTGCTTCTGTTTGTGCTGGTGGAGAGGACGCTGTTCTGTGAGGGAGTGAAGGCAAGAGCTGTCTCACAGGAAGCTGGGGGTTCTCCAGTCATCTCTACCCCAGGGCCAGGGAACAGCTTCCCTCCCTCTTTCCCTCAAGCAGACAGTGGCAGGTTCTAAAAAGGATTGTGTTCTTCCTCCAGGAGGCTGGGTTTTCTACAGTAAGCAAAAGTGGAAGCCAGAGGTCCAGAAACTGGATTAAAAGAGTGGCCTGGGGAGGGGAGGCCCAACACAGAAAGGACAGAGGACAGGAAGAGGCCCTGGGCCTGGGTGGAGGCTATGGCTCACCGTGGAGGGGGTAGGAGTTGTCTTCTTCCTCTCCAGGCCGGGCAGGGGGCTGGCAGGCACTTTGGCAGTGCTGCTGGCCTTCCGCCCTGCCTCCCGGTCCTCCTCAGGCCGTTTATTTTCTGTGTTGTTACTCTGAGTCTTCTTAGAGTAGGAATTAGAGGTGGGAATGGCTGGGCCAGCTGTGGGGCCAGAGGTGAGATAGATAAGGCTGAGTGCCCAACTCTATAAATGGCACTCTCTTATCACAAACCCCCATTTCACAGAGATGCAGAAGTTAGTGACTTGCCCACTTGCTACTAATAAGTGTTTGAACCAGGACTAAAACTCAGCTGTCACCTAGAGCCCTGCAAACCTGTACACTCTGAAGAGGGGTGATTCCCCAAACCACGTACCCTGGTCACTGAAGCGTCGCTGCTTGGGGTTGGCTGAGACACTGCGCTGTACTTTGTGGGATGGGGATGGGGCACTGCTATTGGTCAGGTCAGCTGAAGGCCGGGGCTTCAAGGTGATGGTGTCACCTTCCAGCTGCAGTAACAGAAAATATGGCACCAAAGTAGGGTAAGAGCCTCGAGTGGTAATGCATGCCTGTAATCCCAGCACTCAGGAAGCTATGGTGGGAAAATCACTGCAAGTTCAAGGTCAGCCTGAGGTATATAGTGAGTTCCAGGCTAACCTAAACTACATAGTGAGACCCTGTCTAAAACAAACAACAACAACCAACAACAACAACCAACAAAAACAAACAAACAGCAACAAAAACATGGGCAAGAGTCATGTAGAGATCCCTCCAGGTAAACCTACTTATATATACACTTTGGGGGGGTGGGTACCAGGGATAGAACTCTGGACCTTGAGCTTTCATGGCAGGTGGGGTGCTACTGAGCTAAATCCCTGGACCACATATACTTATATACTGCCTTCCCTGATATATATATTCCAGGCTCACAGGTCACATTACTCCAAAAGACTGATACACACCTAAGCCATGTTCATCTTCACCCTGCCACACACAGAAGCAAATATAGCCAAAGACATGCCCCATAGACATCCTGTCCTCAGACAAGCATGCATACACTCAGAGACACAAATATACAATCAGACGCAAGAGTCATCCCACCCATATTAGAGCAATCTGGACCCCGACTAGGTGCCACCAGACATCTCTTAAGCAGGCTAATGTGGGAACTAAAAGGGAGCCCACCATCACCAGAGGAGTGCACGTGGGCATTCACAGGTAATGAACCAAACCCAAATGGGCAGATCATCAAATCTCTGGACAGATATACACGCACACAGAAATACAGACCCAGACAAAAAGACCAAAGCTTCACATAAGACACAGAGACATGCACAAACCCACAGACATACACTTCCAGATACAGATGAAAATATATCTAGCTCAACACAGAACTGCCAGCCAGATGATACAGACCCATTCCAGTCAACACAGGACAGGCTATCTCAATTCACTCCTATGGAACCTGGACCCATGTTTAGGCCTCCCATCTTTTTATCTCACTCACTGAGGGAGCTCAGTGAAAGGCCTCAGACACCACAGCTGGTTCAAGTTGGTTGGCAGAGGCCATTCTACTTGGAAATGGGCACTGCTCTCTAGGGATCTGAGAAGCCGAAGTGCTCCCTGCAGCCAGAAAATCCCACTCAAAGAATGGGGCAGGAAACACACACCTCAGAACTCTTGTAGCCCAGGAGCAGATAGGTAGCCATCACCTCGTTGTACCTCTGGCCCACCAGTGAGTCCTGGATCTCTTCCCGTGTGTAGCCCATGGACACCATCAACTCTGCACAAAGGACACACAGTTAAGGCTGGTCTTAACTCCAAGGCAGGTCAGCACAGCCTTTGGCCCAGCACAGCCTCACCTGTTCGCCGGGGATCCTTGTAGTCAGGGAGTGGCTCCACATAAGGCTTTAGTTCATCATCTTCATGCCCCACATTCATCCACCGGTCTTTCATAATTTGCTGGGGAGCAAAGAGAAGGGAAAAAGGATAGAGGCGAAGGAAACTCGTCTTGAAGTTTTCTGTGGGAACCCCAAGACCTTCAACCAGTTAGGCTCTAGGCCGCTCACCTCTAAAGTGCCTCTCTTGCTGGGATTAAGAATGAGAAATTTCTTAAGCAGGTTTTCACAGTCCGTGGACATGTAGAATGGAATACGGTATTTCCCCCTCAGTACCCGCTCCCGTAGCTCCTGTGGTTAGAAAATTTAAATCACCCCAAGGCCAAGAGAAGAAACCTAGTATCCAGTATCCTGAAGACTGTCTAAACAGACATAAGTGAAATATGGTAGAAAGCAGACAGCCTGGGTCAAGGTGCCTCCGCAGAAAGGCACTGAAATTACACCCTCACTTGACCAATCGGAAGCCTACAAACCTGAATGCCTTCAGGGGTGAGCAAAACTATTGATCCCACCTCTCAAGACAGGAACTGAGGCTGATTCCTATGGGTAGGAGACATTAACTGCTGCTACTTTAGCAGCCTGCTCTAAAGATCTGGCTTGGGAAAAATATAAACAGGTGGTAAAGATGGGAGGTCAGGGATAAGACCAGAGGCCAAGAGGAAATGGAAGTAATAAAAATTATCTAAGCCTGTATTTCACTCCACCTTGAGGTTCTGTCCATCAAAAGGCAGGGATCCGCTGACCAGGGTGTAGAGGATGACTCCCAGGCTCCACACATCCACCTCAGGGCCATCATACTTCTTGCCCTGGAACAGTTCTGGGGCAGCATAAGGGGGACTGCCACAGAAGGTATCCAGCTTGTTCCCAAAGGTAAATTCATTGCTGAAGCCAAAGTCCGCAATCTTGATGTTCATATCAGCATCCAAGAGCAGGTTTTCTGCCTGGAGGATAAGATAAAAAAATGTCAGGATAGCTGGCCATGGTGGCACATGCCTGCAATCCCAGTACTTGGGGAGGCTAAAGTAGGAGGATCACAAGTTCAAGGTTAGCTTGGGCTACAAAGTGAGTTCAATGGCAGCCTGAACTACATACATAGCAACACCTTGTCTCAAAAAACAAACAAAAACCCCACCAAGTGTCAGGACATCAAGTGGGTTGCACTGATACACTGGGCAGGTAGGAGGCAAGGTGAATGGGGAAACCAATGGATAGTTATCTTCAGCCTCACAACTTTCTCCACCAACTCCAGGGCAGGGCTTAGTCAGCATGAAAGGATGGGTAGGAGGAAGACCTGCAGACCATACCCACAGGCATCCATGGATCTGGGATCTACAGGCCTAGAGACCTTGGGAGCTGAGCAAAGCTTCTGAGTCAGGCCCCAGTTTCCTGGTCATGTCTACAAGGACTTAGTGGACAGGAGATGCAAAAGCCGTCTCTAACCAGGGTAGCTTGGTGACAGGTGTGTGGATATGCCTGTAAATCAGTGTGCTACAAATGTGGAATGCTCACATTCTTCCCTCAGTCAGCTGCCAGGTTAGCTGCCAGACTGCCTGAAGGGTCAGGAAAGCCTGGAGTGTTCCTGTCACACCTGGAAGCATGGAAAAGGGCAGAGGCCCCCTGTGGGTCGCTGCAATGGGAGTCTGAGTCCAGGTGTAAGGCCTCTATCAGCATTCCTAGGGGCTTCCTGGTCATTGTGGAAAAAAAAAAGGTGAGACTTTCCTGAATACAGAGACTAATGGCTGTTGATGGCTATATTATGCAGGACAGAGGGGAGCACTCAACCCCACTCAAGGACACAGAAGGTCAGAACACGCCTCACCTTTAGGTCTCTATGAACAATGAACTTCTGGTGACAGTACTGGACAGCAGACACTATCTGAAAGGAAGGAAGAAGGGTCAGCCCAAGGGTGCCAAAGAGTTGGCCATGGGAGTTCATGGAGCTGCAATCTCATGAACTAAATCTAAGTTGCCACACAGAAAAACAGAGCCCCAACATACCCTCCTAAGGACACTTATAGCTGGGCGGCTTCTCCTTGTATGCTGAACCCTAAAAGGCAGAGGTTGGCCCATACCCTATGGAGGGAGGCACACCCACCTGGCGGAATTTGGCTCGAGCCTCTTTTTCTTTCATCCTGCCATGAGCCACTAGGTAATCAAACACTTCTCCTGCAAGAGATGGGAAGGTGGTGACAGCTGGCAGAGGGCTGGGGAGAGAAGGGGCACAAGAGGAAGAGGCATTTCACACCTACCACCACTGGCGTACTCCATGACAAGGTAGAGCGTCTTCTCAGTCTCAATCACCTCAAATAACTTAACTACAAGAGAGAAAGCCAAGCCAGGAGTCAGATGGGAAATCAGGGGCTGTATGCATAGCCCAACATGTCCAGGGCATCCTAGTGATGAATATTCCCACTATCATGTTCCCCCTATCCCCAGGCTCCTCTCATACCAGCTGATTACCAAGGGCAGCCCAGTGTGCCAGGAAAAGAGCTGGACTTTGAGGTGAGCCTCCCCAGAGGCATCCTTGACACCCTCAAGGACTGCAGAGTCTGAAGGCCAATGAGCTGGGGAGAAGGCCTACATGCTGCCACTTGGAGCCCTGCTGTGGGGGGAGGAAGGAAGGAGTGGCAACTGCATCTCACCTATGTTAGGATGATTCAAAACCTTCATTATTCTTACTTCACGGAACAGCTGGAAAAGAAAACACCAGGGGTCATGCTTGCTGAACTTACTCCCCTCAGGTCCCTTCAGAGCCCCTGCTAGGACATTTTTTTAAAACCGAAAAGACATCAAACTCCAATCAAGGCAGAGATAAGAAATAGGGCAGTTGTCCAGCTCTTTGTAGTCCTCCCACAGGTTCAAGGCAGGGGAAAGACACTAGCAGAAATGGAGGAGAGCTGGATTCTGCTGACTTCCTACCCAAGGCTTCCTCAGCATCAGAGGAGCCAGTGACCCCTCTTCCCCACCTCCTTCCCCAAAAGAGCAGGGTTCTGGTTGGGAGCCTTCACAGGAGAGAGTGTGAGTCTGTGGAGTGACTACTGAGCATCTGAGTTCTTTCCCCAATTTAGTGACCAAACATACTCTAGATGGTCTGGTGAGGGGGTGGGAGGAGGATCTGAAGGGGGCACCCATTATTTTCTGACTTTACTAAAGTCAGAAGGCCTACACTGGGGTACAGGTCTTTCTCTCCTGGGCCTCCAGGATGGTGACAGAAGAAGCCACTCCTATATATAGCCTATGCCAATTTTAATCAAATCCACCTCCACACACTCACTCTCTCTTTGTGAAACAAAATCAGGGGCTCCAAACCATACATTTCCATAAAGAAAGATGACAGAAATGAACTCCTTCCCCCTGCAGGGGCCAGAGAACTGGAGGTGGGGGTTTTGTAGGCCTTAGCACTTGTACAAAGAACAGAACTTGCTGTTGTTTATTTTGTTGTTGCTTTATGGGGGGGGTGAAGCAGTGTCTAGAGCCCTCATTCAGGATATAATTTAAAAAGTAAAGTGAAAAAAATTTTTTTGTTGTTTTTTGAGACAGGGTCTCACTCTGTAGTTCAGGCTGGCCTTGAACTTGAGGTGATCTGCCTATCTCAGCCTTCTGAGTGCTGGCAGTACAGGTATAATCACACCCAGATAAGTATTTTTTCCACATTAATGAAGTGCCAGAGTTTTTATGAACTGGAAAGGTTTTCTAATCTTCAGGAGTCTAACCTTAGCTCCCCTTGTTGGGTTCCAAGTTGTTCTTGCTTCCTTCCTTGGCCCATATATGTGTATGTGTATGTATGAATGAGTACACACACACACAGCAAGCTTGGAATAGAAACCAGGGGTTCATGCATGCTAGATAAGCACTCTACCATTCTACCACTGAGCCACATCCCCAGCCCAGCATGATGGATGAAGAAGCAAAAAACTCTGGCCATCACCACAGGGCCAGAACAGGCAGCAGCACTGAAATCAGGCCCACAGCACCGGGTGTGGTGGTACACGCCTGTAATCCCAGCACTCAGGAGGCTGAGGCAGGAGGATCGCTGTGAGTTCGAGACCAGCCTGGGCTACAACCTGAGTTCCAGGTCAGTCTCAACTACAAAATGAGACCCTGTCTCAAAAAAACAAAACAAAACAAAACGAAATCAGGCCCACAGTCTGTGGCCAGGGTATGGCTCCAAAGGTGACTATTTGACCTAGAAGTAGCATTCTCCTGGGAGAGATTAAAGTTTTCCAGGCTCACCTAGAACCTGAAAAGGACTAGCTTCTTCAACATTCATCCTTTAGGAATCACTGTTAGGATCAACGTTAAACAGTAATTTGGCCATAATTAGACTGGCTTTGTTAACAAAATGTATTAAAAGGCTTTTAAGATGGCTATATGTTAAAACAAAAAACAGCTGTGTGTGTCCAGTGGCACCGTCTGGCCACTTAGGAAGAAGTAGGAAGAGGCAGGGAATGAAATTGTTTGGTCAAGACTGATGAATATAATGGTAGGCTACAATGCTCCAAAGATCAATAGTTCACAAACACTGGCTTCTACTTTTATGAAGCAGGAGGCAATATAAAAAGTAGCCCTCCTTTCCTCTCTCTCAGAAAGCTGAAAGAGGGGAAGCCCTAGTGATGACAGCAATGCTCTCTTTGAACCAAAGACCCCCCACACACACTTTTTTGTTATGGCATTTGGGATTGAACCTGAGGCATGCTAGACAAGCACTCTGAGTTACACCCCTAACCCTTTGTAAATTTTGAGACAGGGTCTTGGTAAATTGCTCAGGCTGGCCTAGAATTTAAAAATCTTTCTGTCTCTGTATCCTGAGGAGCTGGGATTACAGGTGTGTATCACCGAACCTAAGACCCCAGGAGTGAAAAAAAAATAGGGAATACCTTGGTTTTAGCTGTCAATATCCGGGAACTTACTCCACTTGCTCTATCCACGAACACCTTCCTCCTGGAAGGACATCACTTCATCTAACATGGAGCCCTCCTCCGCCCCTCAAATGCCACAATGTGCTTACAAAGAGAAAAATTCCATTGGCCACAAGACGAAAAGAGCTAGATCTTTGTTGGAAAATATGAGTAAGAGTCAACTGCAGTAGGAGGACCCAAAAAAGTCTGCTGTACCTGAAGAGGACAGCTTTGTCGGAGCCATATAGGAGCCTCCTACTTCTCCAAACTGCTGAAGCCCAAGATGGGAAGAGAGGCAGACAGTTTCTAGTTTCACAACAACTAGCCACTGGCAGGCTGTCCCCCCTTCTGCAAATGAAAGTCTTCCTTTCTCTTCTTGCTCCTACCAAATTTTTTTTGTTCCCTGGGCACAGAGTTTGTATTCTTACTTTGGGGTTCCATTACCCACTAAGAAAGATTTTAGCTTCCTACTGTTAAATAGTAGGGAAAGCAAAGTTCAACCTTGCCTAGTTATCTTCTGTCACTACATCTAGACGAGAGACTAGAAATAAGAAGAAAAACTGGGAGTACCTATCCTTAAGGTGTGTGTTCTGTCAGAGACAGAACTAGAGTTTAACTTCTAAAATCTGCACTCTCCATATTCACTCTGAAAAGCAGCTGGCACAGAATTAGTAGCAGGCTCCTTTGCCTCCTTATTCCTGTAGTTCTAGAGCCATTCCCCTGGATCATTCCAGGTCCTGGTTTAGCTATATGTGTTTCTAGTAATGCTAGAAACATGTGATTTCTTTTCTTTCTCATTGAGTTTATGGGTACATTTTAGGTATACAGTATAGTTACTTTCATCATTGGGATCTTGTACCTTTTATAAACATGTGTTTCTGTGTAGGGCTGGTGATGATAAAATGGCTATATGTTAAAACAAAAAACAGCTGTGTGTGTCCGGTGGCACCTTCTGGCCACTTAGGAAGAAGTAGGAAGAAAGAGGCAGGGAATGAAATGGTTTCGAGACAAATGCAAGACACAGGAAGTAGGTCAGACAGACAGACCAAGTAAGCTGGAAGGGGTGGAGGGGATTCAGAAGAGCGAGTTTCTATGGCAGATCACTCAGGGAATCCATAGGGGATGCAGCCAAAGCCTTAGGGGCTGGGAGTAACAGTGGAATGGCCAGGTAGGGTCAAGAGTTCATTGAGCCCTGAGAGAAGCTGAGAACAGGACAGTAGGTGCTGGTGCTTACTTTCTGAAGGCTGGAAGAGTTCAGTTGAGTCTTGTCAATGATCTTCACAGCTACCTAAACATAAGACAAAAACAGCCCAAGATCATTTTGATCAGGCTAAACCCAGCACTTCCCTATTTCCTCCTTTCCATATCATATTCTTTTTCATCCATCAGCTTCCCACCCCCAATCCCATTGGAGTACCCAAGCAACATCCCCACCCTAATGACTGGGGATTGAGACAGGGTCTCACTATGTAGTTCAGGCTGGCCTTGAACTCACTATGTAGTCCAGGCTGGCCTCAATCTTGCAGTGATTTTCCTGCCTCAGCATCTCCAGTGCTGGATTACAGGCATGCATCACCATGACTGGCCCCAGTCTTTAAAAAAAATTTAAAAAAATCTTTGGATAGGATCTTGCTAAGTTACCTAAGCTGGCCTTGAACTTGGAATCCTCCTGCCTCAGCCTCCTGAATATCTGGGATTACAGGTATGCACCACTGTATCCAGTTTAACTCATAGTTATCAGTACCCTATCCAATCTAATTTTGGTCTGAGAAACAAGAGGTTGACTATAGTAGCTGTTTCACCATTACCTGCTAGAATGCCAACATGACAGGAGCTGCTGCCAAGCCCCCAACACCAGTGCTCACCTCTTTCCCAGTCAGGATGTGCCTGGCCAACTTCACCTTGGCGAAGTTACCCTTGCCAATGGTCTTGAGGAGCCGGTAGTTGCCAATATGGGGCTGCTCATCAGCAGAGGTGGCCGAGTTGCGGCCCCGCAGCATGTTGGACTTACTGCTGGGCTTGGAATCAAGGTGTCCCAAGGTGGGCTGCAGGTGGAAACAGACATGCCCTTACATGCTGTCCTTCTAGTGCCCTAAAGTCTCTGCCCTTGACTTCACAAAAAATGCAAGAGGTTGGGGTACAGGAGGAGACTCTGAGGGGCTGGGAAACATGCAAAGAATCATAAGGCAGAGGACAAAAAAGAAGGGAGGTCGGGACAGCCAGTCTTCACTACAAAAGAGGACAGCATAAGGTCCAGTTCCAAGATCACGTTGGCATCAGAGGTTAGGACCAGAGCTGTTCCATCACAGCACTACCAATCTCTCATTAGTGAACCAGCAGCACCACTGCCTTGGTGGGTGATCAAGCCTCTCAATATCCTCTATTCACACTGCAAGAACATTTTACACCAGAGTCCCAGGAGCAGCAGAGATAGAAGTGCTTCAAAGCCATCAACGTCACTACCCAATGCTTTATGTTAACCTTTACAATTTATATTTTGTATTTTGTTTTATTTTATTGGTTGATTGACTGATTTAGACGGGGTCTGCTATAGTTCAGATTGGCTTTGGAGTCTATATCCAGGCTGGCCTTGACCTGTGGCAATCCTTCTGCCTTCGCCTTCCAAGGGTTGGGATTATAGGTGTGTGCCACCAGGTCTGGCTAACATTTGTTGTATCTCCTAGTGGGAAGTCTAAAAAGGCCAGCATACATCCCTTTTTCACAATGCACCCTAGCACCTAAATGGACTGGACTACGGTGGATACTTAATGAATCCTTGTACAGTGAGTGACCAGAAAGGCTGAATAAGAGAAAGGCAGCAATGTGTCTTGCTCTGCTCTTCTCCTTGGATACCCTACAGCTTACACAAGGGCATGAAGAAGCAGAAGTTCTGAACAGGTATACAAGCATAATACAAAAAGTGTATGGTTCAGAAGAAAGCATGGCTGTATGAAGACTTGTACATACATTCCTCAAGGTACTAAACAACAGACAATGTGATCCAGCAATTTCATTCATAAAAATATACTCAAGAGGAATGAAGACATATCCATACAAAAATCTGCACGATTACGTTCAGCATAACCCTTAAAAGCCAAAAAGTAGAAACAACTCAAATGTCTAACATTTGAAGAACAGATAAATATGGAATATTAACTGGAAGGAAAAAGAAGTGAAGGACTGATACACAGTACGGGAAAAATTATGACAACATTAAGTGAACAAAGGACTACATGTTGTATGATCACATTTATATGAAATATCCAGAATAGTGGTTAACCAGGGCTGAGGAGTGATCTGAGGGTGAACAAAGGGATGTGGAGTCTCTTTTTGGGGTAATGAAAATACTCGACTGTGGTGATGAACACGTAACTCTGAGTTTAATGAAAGCCACACAATTGTAAATAGGTAGATTGCTTGGTATGCAACTTATTTCTCAATATAAAACAGAACCTCATCTAACTCCCGATTTGCATCCCAATCTGCTACTGTCAGAAAATCCAGCACCATCACTCTAGCACACTGGGACAAAGCTGGCACCAGAACCTTATTCCAAAACCATCAAGAGCTACCTTGGAAATTTCACAAAGACAATGTGGAGGGTAGAAAAGTGTGAGAATCAAGGTTCTTCCTTTCATGGCCCCTCAAAATCCACAGAGAACTGGGCATAATCCAAGAAGGGGGAGAGGGGGA